ACACTTATCTTAGCCCACGAGAAAAAGATAGAAGCATAAATCAAAGACATTATAATGAAGGCTCTAAAAAGGTTCATAGTAGAAGTATAAGAGATCGCTGCGCAAAAGATAGCTATAGTAGTAGCAATAGCTGCGCCCGCGGTAACTGCTGCGCCCGCGGTAGATGCTTCATCCGGGAAAGAATTAATTAGGTAAACACTAAGAGTCACGGAATGGATAAAGAAATTCATGGAAATAATCATAGACCCGTAACATCTAAATAGCGCGATAAGAACTATGGAGCGCGCTATGGAAGTAGGCGCGTAAGATATTAACGAAGTCATTAGGAGATACTAGTAATATATCCAAGATAGCTTCGAACACCTACTCGCTATAAAAGAAGATAAACTACGTATAGCTTCTAACGGAACACCTTTCGAAACGCTCTTCGACGAAGTAGCGGCCGCTAGTACTTATAATTACTATCCTGAACTCGATAATATTCAGATGGAAATACCGGTTTCTAGAATTCCTACGCCAGAACATCGGTTTAAAGAACTTCTAGAACGAAACGCCTAGGAGCTCTTAGACGACAAGGCATTAAGCTTAGAAATTAAGCTACTAGAAGTTAGAGAATTAGATACTAACATGAATGACGACCTAATGGAAGTCGTGCACGAAGAAGCCGTCTTAGATAAGTTCAAGAAACAAATGTAGCAATTCGTAAAGCTCGCGAATACCGACGACTCGGAGTCGGTAAACGAATTTCATAATGTAGAAGACTCCTAAATGGGAGAAGCCGCCGCAACTGAAACCGTCCTAATCATTGAAACTAAGGAAGTTACCGCCGCCATCGATAATGCTACCACTAAAACCATGCTAATAGTAGAGACTAGTGCCGTAGCCGACGTAAAGATTAACGTTATTGTAAGTGCCGTAGCCGACGTAGAGAATGACGTTATCGCAAGTGCCGCTGCGGCTATAAATATAGAAACCGTCATTATTCCGATACCTATAGTTCCTACTCCCGCTAAATCCACTCACTCGAACTGGCCGAGAAAAGACGATGATACGTACGAATGGTCTTAGATCCCTATAGCTATACCGACGCTACGAATGGATCAAATGAATATAAAAGAAATGAGAGTAATAAGAATAGTACTAAATCGTATATTCGAATACCCTAATAACTAATTCGAAGCTTTCCTCGAGGTTCACGATAGGCTTTAGGAAGTTACTATAAATCTAAAGGTAATAGAAGCTATCCTCGCGTAAGAACCGGAGAGACGAAGAGCTATATTATAATAATACTATCAATACTTCTACCGACACCTAGGGAGTGATATAGCGTAGTATCTACACGAGCATCCAACTAAAGTAAGCCTACCAGAGTAAGGACTTTCACATTTATCGTTTCGAGCTGTTGGGGGCAGCTGTCACGGAAAGTGATAAGGAGATAGATAACGGCAAGAACCACGGACTAGCAGTCCCATATACATAGCCGTAGATTCCATGAAGTAGCTAGTAATCAATTCAATACTTGACTAAGACTTGACATCTCTGTCCTTAACATCTCCCGCCTACTTATATAAATTAAACGGAATAGCTAAACGATTTAATCGTACGGTTTAGACATTAGTAAGATTAATTCTCTCTTCTAATACTAAGTTAAAATTCTAGGCTAAAGCTATTTATATAATAATATTTATTAAGAATATTATACTATATACTTCTCTCCTAATAGTTAACACGCTATATTATACTCTCTTTAGTAAGAAACCTTCTATTTAAAACTTATATCTATTTGGAGTTATCTACTATATATATATTCTAAAAGAAGTATAAAAGCTAGGTAGTAAGCTCCTTTATAGATTAGAGAAAGATATTCTAGTTAGCTATAGTAAGTTAGATAAAATCTATAAGTACTATATTTCTAACCGTAAGGTTATTATTAAGTTATAAGATATTACTTTCGTACCCTTTAGTCCAAGACCACTTCTATAGTAATCTCTTTTCTTAATTATTATAGAAAGAGATAGCTCTAAAGAAGAGTCGGATAATAGAGGAGTATCTTATAATATACTAGATATATTATATAATATACTAGTTGTAGTCTATAATATATAGGACCTCTAGCCCTATATAGAAGATATAATAAGTCTTACTAAGATACCCTAATAAAGATTATCTACCCTTTCTTATAGTAGGACGCCTTCTACTATATCTAGGGTAAATTAACTAAAATTTAAATCTTTCTCTAGCTATAACCTACTATATAAAAATCTATATCCGTTAAGATTACCTTCTAATATATCTTATTTTAGAAGGAAACATAAGTATATAATTTATTTTAATAACTCTATAAATTTAGTAGATATAGAAGAGAAGGAAATAGTCTATACTCTATTAGTTAATACTATCTTAAATATAGATGTTCCTTTAAATCTAAAAGAGGCTAGGAATTCTTCTAATTAGTATTAGTAGTAAATAGCTATTAAAAAGGAGCTAAGAAGTTATAAGATTAATTAATTATAGTAGGAAGCTCTACTTACTACGAATGTCTCTATAATAGTTAGTTCTAGATAGATATTTAATATTAAGACTACTATAGATAATACTAAAGTTTATAAGGTATATCTTATTATATAGGGCTTTACGTAGAAATATAGTCTTAACTATAATAAAACTTTTACACCTATTATTAAGTATAATTCTCTTTATATTATACTCTAATAGACCGTGTAATATAGTAAGTATATTTACTAGATTAATTTTAATACTATCTATCTAAATAGTAGTCTATCTAAAAATATCTATATAAGGCACCCGCTAGAATTTAAAAAACTAGGTAAGATTCTTAAGCTCTAAAAGGTAATTTATAGATTAAAATAATCTAGTTAGAAATGGTTTTATACCTTATATAATCTTCTTTAATCTCTTAAATTCTAATAGTTATAGTTTAATCTATATATCTTTATTAGATATATTATTATTACTATCTATATTAATAACCTACTACTTATAGAGGAGAAACCTTATATTTAATACTTTAAGTAATAGATTATAGAATATATAAAATATAAAGATCTTAGAGAAGCGCGCTTAATATTAGGTATTAAGATTAATTAATCTTAAGAAGACTAAATTAAGCTTTCTTAAAAGGCTTACTCTTAATATATTCTAAAAAGGTTTAGTATAATAGATTATAATAGTAGAAAGACTCTAGTTAATATAAATACCTTTCTAATAAGATTAGAAGAAATCATTAATTAAGAACGCTAGCTTATATATATATAACTAATTAGGTTACTTAATTATCTTATTACTAGTACACGTCTAGATCTATTAGGCACGTGCCTACTAGTTAATTATACATGTATGTAGCAGTCGTATATAAGTAGTGTGCTCTACCCTTGAAGTAGTAGCTTTAAGATTCGGTCCTTTTAGTATAGTTGGTTAGTACGTAGAGCCCGCCTCCTTATAAGATCTTACCTTTATAGTCGGAATATATACTATTTTTAATATAAATCCGTTGGAGTAATATACTTAAATAGCCTTTAGTATATTATAATATATTAAGTATACTATTAACTAATACCTTATATTAAAGAAATCTAAAGGCGTAATAGAAATTAATATATTCTTAGATACTTCTTAGAGTTTAGACTCTAATACTACGAAGTCTATCTCTATATATATACTTTAATTAAATAGAAGCTTAGTAGCCTAGAATAGTAAAAGGTAATTATATATTACTAAGTCGACCTATAAAGTAGAGTATATAGCCTATTTAAAGGCTATAAGTTACTTATAGTAGGCTCTACTAGATATAAAAGAGATTTTCGATTAAGATATTCTAGTTTCTTATCTTCTTATAGATAATTAAGCTACTATAGCTCTTATCCGAAACTAGTAAATTATAGTATAGTCTAAATATATTATAATATACTATTACGCGGTTTAAGAATTATTTACTAATAGAGTTATATCTATATAGTATATTATAAGTTACGATAATATTACTAATATAGAAATAAAAGGACTACCCTTACTACTACTAAATTAAATAAAGATAATAATTAGTTTATAGTAGAGTTATCTTACTTATAGCCGTTTCTCTCTTAGTTATTTCTCTTATATCTCTCTTTCCTTTATTCTTTTAATACTATCTCTTACTATTACTTACTTTAAGCTTTTCTTTATTCTAATATTACTAAGTATATATATATACTTAGTATAGGGGAGTGTTATCGGAAGGCACTTTAAGTAAGAGACACTACTTCCTAAACGGGACTAGTGTCTAAACGGTTAAATAGCTTCGACTCTGTCTCCCAGAACTTAGTTCTCTACACACTTACAGAATACACTCAATGACCTCAATTACGTCTCCGTTTCTCTTATAATACTAATCAAGTACATGTCCTCATCACTTCGCCGTGTTATAGCGCTTTCGTAGCAAACTTACCATGAAATTATAGGCTCATGGGAAACCGAATATGGTTCCGCCTTGCCATTGAATCTGCTTTGAAACCGTAAGTATGATGTTCTTCCACCATACGTAGCGATCCACTATGAAAGTTAGTCATTGAGAACTCAACAATTAGGACGACAGACCTTGAGGGTCATGTCTGTTCGCGTAGTCCAATCGTTGAACCAGGCGACGCTCCATTCAATCACTCTATCAAAATGGCACATATGCCTGGTCCTGGTATTCACGGTACTGCCCACATCGTCGGCTCGTCTATCGCAGGTCAAGCATTGGAGATATAGGCTGATCTAATGATAAAGCAATGTTTTTGTTCTAGGCGGTTTCAAGTGTTCTGGTAGATAAGTAGTGGACTTAAGGATGGGGTAATTAAGGGTGACGAGGAGGGAAGAGGAGGCGGATGATAAGGGTCATGGCATCTGTGGAGTGTTTGACTTAACGTCCTTGTTCGAGAGAAAAAACCACGACCGTATCCACCAAGGGGTGATCGGAAGGGTTATGGCGAAGAGCGTTCGAGCACAGGACACAGGCTTTCGCCGGTACTAGGGGAACAAATCAAGAGAAACACCGACTTTCATTTGAATGACGAATTTTACAACCTGGACGAGATGTTCTGCGCCAGAACCTCTTTCGCCCCTTTTAATTGCGCTTCGAGGTCTTCCTCCCACAGCCATTTCATACGTACAGCCATGTTCTCCCTATACTTGTCAAGATCATCCATTACACCCGGCTTCTCAAAATCGTAGAGCTGCCCACAGTCCCTACTTGTCGTGACCAGATCCTGTGTGCGCTTTCTCCGCACGGCGTCGAAAGTCTTGAAAGCTGCTTCGATCTCACTTTTGTCGTTGATGGCAGCCAGGATCTCGCTCATCATCCACGAGTCTTCAATGCATATTCCAGCACCGGCGCCCTGGTGTGGTGTCGATGCATGAGCTGCATCACCGCTAAGACAGATTCGTCCTTTGCAGTACGTTTCCGCAGGAGGATGATTGAAAAGTGCCCATACGTCGCTCTTCTTTGTCAGGTTGATGATGTCGATGGCATGCTGGCTCCAGCCCTCGAAGTCTTTTAACATGTCTTCCTTGGTCATGGACACAACCCACTGGTCAGAGTCCCACGTGTCGCGACTGCTGAATGCGACCACTATGATAATGTCAGCTCGAACATCCTATTCCAAGTCCGGTTAAGTCGTTACCGTTCATCGTTTTTCCTTTCTCAATGGCAAACGTGAGTATGTGACCGCCATAGCCGCCGTAATTCTGCGAATTCATTGCCAGCTCCTCCCCGAGAAGTTCCACTGCCTCGTTCATGGGAATAAGTCCTCTATATGCGTACTTGCCCGAAAATACAGCTTTTGTCGCTGGGTTGTCTTTCCCAAGAACGACTCCGCGCATAGCGCTCTTGATGCCGTCGCACCCTATGACAGCGTTGTGCTGCGCCGTCGTGCCATCCTGGAAATGAAGAAGCACGTCTCCATTGTCCAGTTTCTCCACATCGACCAATCTCTTCCCAAAGTTTGATATTTCCTGCGGCACAAGCTTCACCATCTCGTCCAAGAAATGAGCGCGATGTACGCTCGCCTGGCCACCTTCACAGGGAAGTGCAAACCACTTGTCTCCGCCCTTCAAGCCTCCATCTTTCGACCCAGGCTTGGGCTTCCATTTTGCATCGCCTAGTCGGAAGTCGAACCAAATATCCTTCTTGCTGTCCCACTGATTGTGTGTTGCGACTTTCTTGAAAGCCTTCTCGACGTCTGGGGAGATCAGGCGCATGGCACGCTGCGCATTGGGCCCGAAGGAGACGCCTGCACCGATTTCGCCGAACTTAGGAGCTGCTTCATAGAGTGTTGTTTTGATGCCCTTGTTCAGTAGAGCAGTTGCTAGGGTAAGTCCGGATATGCCGCCTCCTACGACGGCGATATCGAACGACTTCTCAAATGGTGACATTGTGGACGTAAGCTGGCTGATTCAAGGACAGGAGGGTAAGAGCTACCTGACAACAGGAATTGTCTGGAGCATGAGTTCGATTTGTACGTATGCATTTTGATGAAGCTCTGAAGCGGGGAGCTCTTCGGGATATGGTCAAGGCATACTGAGCTCTGTCGGAAGAGGGCCACAGCCGATGCATGAAGCCATACGGAAGGTGACTTTACGACTCCATTGATCGTGGACTAGGGCTGACCATGCTGCTCGGCGAAAGCTCTGAGATAGTTCGCATCATACCGCGTGACGGTCCACTCAGAAGGGGGACATTGTCAGTGATGAATGTTGAAGCCTGTAGAGCAGCTTGGACGTGGAGCCTTATGGGTGCCGAAGAGGGGTTGTTCATTCAAGCTTACCTAAAAGGTTATAGCGTAGCGAATCTCAGTCCCAGCCTTGGGCGGACTTTCCTCCAGCAACAAACGACACCATCCAACATATCCCACACTGATCTCAGACGTTATTTTTTATATTCGTCCTTCGTTGATGCTGCAGTGAGGCCTGTATGAGCGGCTACCATATAATGCAAGTGCTGTGAGTTCGTATACTATCAAAAGTCGACGACGAGATGGCGCAGATATACGATCATTCAAACATCAGGATCGCCACACGGGCCAAAGAAGAGCATGGATCTTTCGACACTGTAACGACTGTGCTTGTGACTGGCTATGGTGTAAGATAGTTTTCCATTCATATTTTCGTGTAGCAGATCAGTGCACTCTACTGTCTGAAAGAGTTTTGTTGCACGTGTCACTTATTCAGCTGTTTGTATAGCCATTCCTCCAAGAACATGAGGACAATTCGTCATGGCGTATAGCATCAACTCTACCCTCTATTCTTCCAGCTACGAGAGATCACCCTATCCCCATCCGGATTGTCGTCTACCCCTGGCCGATCCGCGTGTCCTATCAAGCAGTCCTGGACCTTGTCCCTTCGCTTGTAGAGAAGGTCAACCCAGATATCATCTTGCACATCGGCCTAGCCTCTGGTAGGACCACAAGTGTGAAGTTCAGTACAGATCGACTAACACGCTAGGTCGCAACTTCTACGCCATCGAACACGGCGCCCACAAGTCCATCTACGGTACGCATATCGACGTTGATGGCCAAGGCTTCCCCCAAGAACGCAGTGACGAAGCATTTGGTGACCTGCCCAGTATCCTCGAAACGGGATTCGACGTCCATGATCTGTATCGGCGCTGGAAAGCAGAAATACCCGACGCTAACGCAGACATCAGAACCTCACCAGACGCTGGGAACTTTCTCTGTGGCTTCATCTATTACACGTCGATGTCGTTGTTCGCTAAGATGAAACGTGCGGAGCGGCCAGTAATGTTTTTCCATGTTCCATATCTATCGACGGAGGAACAGGTAGACGAGGGGAGGGAGGTGACGAAAGGGTTGATCAGAGCGTTGGATGAAAGTCGGGCAAGGCGGGGGACGCATCATGGGAATGTGGGTGCTGGTTCTCGTAACACCTAAGGGCTCTCCTAACTAGCTTTCCAGTCGTATGAATGACATCCATTACTCAGTGTATCGCTGCAGACTCAAGTTTAGACACCGAGAGACTGGTGATTTAGCGAGCTGATTAAGCCAGACGATGTTGCCATAGGGCCTCACTGTGGCTGATCCATGGTAATTGTTCGCTTCCGATCATTGACGTCATAGCTTGGTGATAGCCTGGGAGATCTGCTAATAAGGGATGAAATTTGCGCATACACAGTTTGAAAGATACGCATAGTGCATCAGACCTCACGCAGAGATGCTACATCGTTAACATCAGACTTCCTTCCAAGTGAATTCCAACTAGAGCACCTACATCAAAGCTCCAGTTTCCACAGTGCACTACCTATACTGTTCCTCATATTAACGACGCTCCATTAATACTTCCACCCCAATGCCGACAGGGATCACCGAACGCCATTCACATAAAACTTTACCGATGTCAGGGATGATCATCCTTGCTACAACCACCGCCAATACTGGTCAGAGGACATGATAATCTATATATTACCTGCAGACTGTAGACTGTGTTGAAAGAGTAGATAAGTGTAACAGAGCTTAGACACCTCCGAGTCTGATGCACAGGCGAGATATGATAACAATCGAGCTTAATAGACCTAGCTACTTTAGAAATTACTTTCTTTCACATCGACCAGCAAATAATTTGCTTAGAGCTATCACTAGTTCTCCGTTAGGATCTAGCGAAACAACTTGGTTAGTAGTTGAGGCTAATGCACTCGCTCTAACGTTGACTGCTGTCTCTATACGCGGCTGGCAGGGCTGACTTTATCGACTTTAATCATCTGTGACTTTGCGTGTGAACTCGACTACCACCTCCAGAGCACTATTAAACTTTGTAGTCCAGCACCCGCTAATAATGTGGCCACACGCAAACTCGCTTACATCTGGAAACTCCTCTCTCATGAAACGGGCAGTAATTTCATCGTCTTGCAGGCCATGGAACGGCTCCCGACCAGTCATGATGTAATACATAACAGACCCTAACGCGAAGAGGTCCGTTTTTATGTTTGGTGTGGAAAGGGGATCTCTGGGAAGGAAGAAGGAAGTACTCTCCATTGCCTTTCCATCCAGTTCTCCATACAGGGAGCCAGCGAAGTCGCAGAGGCGAATATCAAGGTTTTCGTCCAGTAGGAAGTTATTTGGGTGGATGTCGCAGTGGATGACATTTCTGGAGTGGATAAATGCAATGCTCTCGGCCGCTTGTTGTGCCCATTTCTCTCGTTGCTGGATAGGAATGGATTTGAAGTCGGCCTTGGAAAAATAACTGCGAATATCTCCGTTGGCCTCAAAATGAAACCTAAGACCGTATTCGTGTTGGCCAAGGTACTTGACCAGCCTTTGGTGGTCTCCCAATGCTGTAAGGATAACGTGTTCGATTTCTAGACTTCTAAGGGCCCAGCGGTCATCTCTGTCACGGACATATTTAAGGATTGATTTATCTGGTAGAAGAGCAAGTAGTGCGGTGTTACCACCGGACAGCACTTCCGATACCCCAGGAGGATACCATGGCTTGAGATATTTCACACTTGACTCCGGGCGACACGGATCGACATGGAACTGGCCATCCATCGGTACAGCCGATCCATCAGAGAAGGTGGCAAGAGGCTTTGACATGACATACAGGCGATGAGAAGGGGCTTGTGCTGGCGGCGATCAACGTTGGTCGAAGTAGAAGAGCCTGTCCACACTGTACGATCCGTCGTTTTCCTAGAACCTGACGAGCTAGGACTGGTACACGCGTGTTCTCACCCCAATCTTCCTATAATAAGCCTTTTCCACTTTTATACTTATCTATAAGTATATAAGAGTTTTAAAAGTAGATATAATAGATAATTAGATAAATCTCTATCTAGCTATAAGCTTATTTTATCTTTATAAGGCCTCTTTAAAGAGATAGAGAAGAGTCTTTAAATATTCTTAGAAGTTCTTAGAAGAGGGCCCGTGCGAAAACCGCGTCAGGTTCTAGGAAAACTACCCTCTTCCTCTTCTCTAAGAAATTAAACCCTCTTATTATAGACTATATTAAAGAGTTTAGAGCTTAAAAATTATATAGGAATAATCGCATTACTCTACTCTATAAGTCTATATAGATATTATAATATATAGACCTCTATATAGAGGTAGAGAGGTAAAATAACCATCGAAGATTTGGGGTGAGAACACACGCGTGAGATGGAAAATGCCAAGCTCGTCAGGTTCTAGGAAAACGACGGATGGCGTTGGTACTAGCGCCCAGAATCCCTGTCACATACTGCCGTTATTGTGTTTCCTAGCAGCGAAGAACACATGCTGTTACCAGCCAAGATATCCATTGTAGCCTAAGCTAAGCACTTCATCATCATCCATCTACTCCCCGGCAACTAAGATATTATGTTTCATCTATCTCCCTAGCGCTGTCCTTAAACCAACGACACCTTCCCACCCTGGCCGACACTGCAGTCAACGGGTCATAGATACGAAATGCCATGCTAAGCCCTGAAAATCATGCAGTATTCTTTTTCCATCTCGCAAACTCTCCCCCGCCTCGTGTGCGACGTGTCACGTCACCGCCTCTGATATCAGTCTTTGTTTATGCTTTCCTTTTGGCGCATCTGGTCCAGTGTGTTCAGCATTGTATCGCATTCACAACTTACTGCACAAGACCCCCCAGACGAGCCACTGCTACACCCGCGCGCGTCTTTCCATTCTTCGCGCTCTGATACATCTTCCGACTCGGAAGCATTAGCTATGGACAATCTCTCCGAGAGACACAAGGTTCCCGGTACGCCACCAGATGTCGCTAAACACTCCGATTCCACCGATGCAGACGGCCTTGAATCGCGCCTTTCAAGCAGCGAGGTGGATGACTATGACGGCGAGACCACGTTGTACAACAAGAAATGCGTGCTTGTGAACCGGCAGATCGACGCGATGGGCATGGGTAGGTACCAGTGGTACGTATGGACTTTGTGTGGAATGGGCTATGTTTTGGATCTGTTATGGGCGCTGGCGTTCGGATTGGTGTTGAGTCCTCTGCAACAAGAACTAGGGTTTGGAAGTGAGTCTTGTTGCTGTCGTGTTTCCTGTAAGGCTATGTGCGCTGACAGGGACTGATAGATGACAAAAGTGGGAATATCTCAGTTGCATTCTCGGCTGGGCTTACAGCCGGTATGTCAAATCGCGTAATCAGAGTGGAAAGCTTATATTGACTACCGACTAGGTGCATTTGTCTGGGGAGTGCTTGTTGACATTCTTGGTAACTCACGCCTGCTGGCCCATGTATCTCCTATTGATACTGACATAGCCCAGGCCGCCAATGGTCCTTTAATCTCACCGTTCTCTTCACTGGCGCGTTTGGAATTACTCTTGGTAGTCTCGACTCCTACACCTCCTTTCTCGTCATCACCGCGTTTGTCGGCTTTGGCGTTGGCGGCAACATCCCTATCGACACCACCATCGTGCTTGAGTTCATCCCCCAGAATAAGCGCTTCCTGCTCGCTCTCCTCTCCGTCTTCCAGCCCGTGGGCTACGTACTCGCTGCTGCCATCGCATACGGCTTTATACCCTCGCACTCATGCAGCCCAAACTTCACTGCCGGCGACGACGCCCTCCCGTCATGCCGTAACGTCGTCGACGGTACGCCATGCTGCACCAAAGCGTCTAACATGGGCTGGCGCTACGTGATGTACACTACTGGCGCAATCAGCCTCGCCGTCTTCGCGCTGCGCTTCGTCATCTTCAACTTCCGCGAAAGCCCCAAGTTTCTCATCTACCGCGGCCATGACGAAAAGGCCATTCGCGTCCTCGAACAAGTCGCCGATTTCAACGGCTCTTCGTGCACGCTCTCCATGGCTGACTTCGACACCCTCTCCCGCACCCATTCCCCGCCGACCCCTTCCTCCATCTCAACCATCCCAATTCTCAGCCACAGCACCAATACAACAACATCCCCTTCCACCATTTCCCGCCTCCGCCTAAACCTCCTTTCCGAAGCCCACCGCCTCGCCCTCCTCTTCAGCACACCTACCATGACCCGCCTCACGCTCCTCGTCTGGCTCACCTACATCTGCGACTTCAGCGCCTTCACTATCACCGGCACCTACCTTCCCCGTATCCTCGCCCTCAAAAACGCCCACCTCGACAAATCCCTCACCTACACCTACCGCAGTTACATCTACATCTACCTGCCCGCCATCCTCGGCGTCGCCGTCGCCGCATCCCTCTACCGCGCCCCACGCGTCGGCCGCAAATTCACCCTCGCCGCCTCCGCAGCCCTGATGGCCGTTTCCATCTTCGTCTTCGCCGCCGTAAACACCCCGGGCGCGAATATCGCGGCTAGTATCGCAAAGTACTTCTTTCAGCTCATGTTCAATGCTGTCTTGTACGGGTGGACTCCCGAGACGTTTCCAGCACCCGTGAGAGGCACGGCGTGTGGGTTGGCGAGCTTTTGGGGCAGGTTGAGCGGGATTGTGAGTCCGCTTGTGGCGCAGCATTTGTATGCGCGTGTGGGTACCGGTGGGGGTGAGGGTGATGCGAATGCGGTGTTGTATCTTGCTGGTGGGGTTATGCTGGGCTGTGTGGTTACGACGCTGCTGCTGCCTGGGAGTGTGGTTGGGAAGGATAGTTTGTAGGCAGGTAGGAAGCCAGTCAGCTTGGATGAATATGAAATGGCATGAAATGAAATGGAAACCTCGATATGGTGCGCTTGGTATCGTGGATATAACGTTACTGCTTTATGTGAACTGTTGCGCTGCCTATGTGCAACGCTGTTTTGCTACGTGGCTGTGCCTGTGGAGTCGTGATATGCTGTGCTGGATACTAGAAATGAGACCTCCTAGAGCCCGTGTGAAAGCTAATTTGCTGTGCTTGATACTAGATATAATAGCTCCGGTAGTTTGTACTGAGGCTAATTCGTTGTCCTGGATAGTAGATACAATACCTCATATAGCCCACTGAACAGTCGTTCACTGTGTTGGATACTGAAAATGAGACTTTCGATAGCCCGTGTAAAGGCTTAATTGCTATGCCGGATACGTGGTATTATACGTCCCATAATCCGTGTGAGGGCATGTTTGCTTTTCTGGATAGTACATATGACGCCATTTACTGCCCCTGTGCATGGCTGTTTGCTGTACTGGCTATGCAAATATTGAGCTCCTGTAATGTAGCCAAATCGTCCTAAGTGGTGTTGGATACTAGGAAAGACACAGAGCATAGCTGTTGTAAGATGTGCGTCTTCTACATGCTAGTGCGTTTGCTATACTTACGGCCATCTAAAATTACTGAATGCTTGGATGTGCACGATAAAAATCACGACTATCACATGGAAGAACAGTGGTCATTATGTTTAGGTATCATGAAATTGCATTGCTTATTCTTCTGAAACCCTCTCCCAACTTGCTACCCAATGCGGCCCTGGGGGCGAGGTGCCGGGTGCGCGTCTTCAAACGGCGATGGCAAAGGCCAACGCACCGGCTCCCAGCACCATGGCACCGTTGGCCATGGTGCTGGCCACAGCTCCGTCGGTAGAGGGGACAGGGTGGTGGGCCGTCGTGGTGGTGGTGGACGGAGGGGCTGCGGAGGTCTCGGGGGCAGAGGACTCAGTCCTGGTGGACGAGTCTGAGAGGGTAGCAATTGAGAGGGCGCCAGAAACACCCGACGACGCGACAGACACCGTAGGAAGCAAGACAGCAGTGATGGACGGCCTGGGCGTTGGCTTGGGAGGGTTCCAGACGGTCTCGGAGCGCGGAGGGGGCGGGGTGCTGGCATTGGTGCACATCTGAATGAAGGCGATGGTGGTGGTGGACACGATGTTGACGATGACAGTTGAGACGGCATGCGGGGCACCATAGTGCTGGCACTCTATGCGTTGTATCAGCAAGAGTGCTGAGGTGAGGTCAGGATACAGAAGATCTTCCACTAAAAAGATCTTCCACTTACTCGAAGGCGCTTCAGCATCAGCAACAGCAACAGCGGCAGAACCCGCCAAAACAAACAGAGCGGCGGCAAGCAGAGTGAAGAGTTTCATGTTGAGCATTGCGAGTGGTGTTGAATGAATATTGTGTCTTGTAATCTGACGTAGTGGTTAGCAAGGTTCAGCTCAGCAAATCAAACGTGAGAAGGGCGACAAACCGTTTGTGTGAAGATATTTGTGTGGTAAAGAAAGTAGAACAGAGAGAGACAGCAGTGAAGGTTTTATAAGGGACGAACAGGACAGCGACAGTGCTGGCAGTCTGATCAGGTGACAGGAATGTGACACATAGGCTACTCGGCGAGCAAGTGAATTGAGCGGGAGGCATGCAAGGATCGACTTACAGGACTCACCGAGTGAATTGGCGGAGTATTGGGTAGCGGTGTAGCTCGAGAGAGAATAAGGATGAAATGAAAGCACTTTGATACTGGAACTTGACGGACAGACAACAAACAGCGATGCATACGACGTATTGCTCAGGGGGCGCCTTGAGGCTATATTGTGAGAACCTATGAAGGAGAAGAAAACATAAAGCATTTCGCATGTCACTCCAGCACGTGCATATCATCATATATCTTTGCGTGACTGACTCTCTATACCATTCCAATCATGTCGACTTCCCTGACAGTTGCTGCTCCTTTTTCGGGCTGCTTTGCGGTGTTTATTTCTTACAGCCTGAGGCAGAAAGTGAGTGCTGGCGGTGACATCATAATCGTATGTTGCTGCCTGCAGGTATCAAGGCAGGTGTCAGGCAGGTGTTTACAGATCACCTCAACGGCTCCCTAATCCAGCTACCAGAAAAGGAGGACGAAGGAGGACGAAGGAGGAAAGAACGAAGAAAGCAGTCGCCGAAGAGGTCACTTCAGTCAGCAGACTCGGAGGTCAAAACACCCGGCCCGTTCACGCACATCTGTATTTCTTCTCTTCCTCTCTTCCTCACACTCTCTCCCAACTTCATCCACAATCGTTCAGGTGTGTCCACACTCGATCAATTGCTTCATTCTTTGTCCTCTGTGACGCTTCAATTCTTCAGCCCTAGACAGCAGCCTCAGTTCGTCTTGGTCCCGTAAAGTCGATTGAGAAAGATGTTGTTCTTCAAGACCGGTGCCATCGTCGTCGGTGTTGTGGCTCTTGCTGCAGCTCAGCGTAAGTCAATCCTGTGATTTCCATTGCTCTTTAGTGTTATTGAACACCTTGGACTGTGATGGGAAGTCCATTCAGATGACCACTTGCTGATCCTCAGAACCAGATATCGGCGCTCGCAAAGTCCATGTCGATCTCATTCCGGCAAACGCCACGTCAATCGTCTATGAGACGCAGTTGAGCACCATCTTCAGCTGTGCTCCGCATGTTCCCAACTGTCCTCACGATTCAACTATTGTGGTGACTTCAATCATTCCGATTGCAACTACCATTTGCCCTGTCACCTTGACTTCGACCTGGGTTGAGTCTTCTTTGGCTTCTCCTCCTGCACCAAGCAGCTACGGCCCTCCACCACCTGCTCCCAGCAGTTATGGTCCTCCTCCTCCACCTGCTCCCAGCAGTTATGGTCTCCCTCCACCACCTGCTCCGAGCAGTTATGGACCCCCTCCACCACCTCCAAGCAGCTATGGCCCGCCACCACCAATCAGCTACGCGCCCCCAAGCTCTTCTGCTTCTTCTGCTTTGTTGCCCACCGAATACTCGACCTCTTCCATTGTGGTCACTCGCCCGGGACCTCCATCAAGCTACGGTACTCCAGTTCCTTCGGACATCGTGACTCTTACTTTGAGCACTGCCAGCCCACCCCTGTCTTCTCCGATCAGCGAAGAGCCTGGATACCCTTCTCCTCCACCATATGTCCCTCCTTACATCCTGACTAGCGAGAGCCATTCTGACAGGCCTGTGTCCATGAGCACCACCGAGGTTAGCATCGTCACTTTGCCCACCTTCGCTCCGAGCATCTCTCCGAATACTACCTTATCGGTGCCAACTCAGGCGAACGGTACTTCCACCGCGACTCCAACTCCCCCACCAGTCTTCGAAGGCGCTGCTTCTCTCGACAAGGTGGTCAATCTCGGACTGTTCGCGGCCACACTCTTCATTGCTTTCGTCATCTGATCTGGCTGAAGAAGTACCATCCGCCAAGGCGGTCATCTCGAACGTAATTATGCTCTTCATGTTTACGATGTGGTATCTTCTCACTTTTTCTGTTGTCTTTGGGGAGCATCTGATACGTAGCTCTACTTGCTTTGTAACATTAGCTCTGCAGCTAGATATGTGCGCGTCTATAAAGACACTAATGAATCCCAATTGAGTTTGCAACACTCTGCCTTTGCGTGTCAATCATGCATACCAAGGGAGATGCTCGAGCGATAGGACTAACTCGCTCTGGCGGGGGTGATTCTATATTATGATTGTGCGCAACCAGATTGGAACGCACGCGCGTGCATGTATCCAGATCAGATCGCGCCGGGGAATAGATTCTGTGAAGCTGTGGTAGACTGGTCGTAAGTAGTTAGTGAGACGGTCAGATGGTCGGCCAAGTCGTGCTAGAGCTGTAGTTTCAACGACCGGCATCTTGGATTGCCATATATCTCAGAAGTAGCCAATCGAAACATTGCACTCAAGCCAGCTCCAACTCTTAGATGCCCTAGGTAAGTCACATATCGAGCTACATGGCGCCATTCTTCACGGCACGTCGGACTGGAGTATCTCTCCTCTTACCTCATAGTTAGCTACCCAAGGTGCACGGGAACTACTAAACACGAGGTAACGTCTGCTGCTTTGGTTGCTTATCAGGTGGTGTACATACAAAGATGCATGTTTAGCTAAGTCAGCGTCGTGGTCTTGAGATAAGGTTGCATGGAATGAGCCTCATCAAGTTTCACAATCGGCATTAGCTCTCACCGTCATCATAATCGCCTTCATCATTACCGTCGTCATCGTGCCCATAATCGTCCTCGTCTGAAATTCCTGGGTATCGCAATCGCGGGAACTCGTCCGTAATATCCACCTCCTCCTCCCACCAGCACGTCGTGCCATCATCATGGAACGCAAACCCGCTATCCTGATCTACCACAAACGCAGACGATGCGTCCCCATCGCTACTCCCTGCAAACCGCCAACTGTCTGGATGTACGGCAGTCCTGCCCGTGCGGCAGTTGACGACGAGAAGAAGGGGGGACTCGATCGAGCGTGGGAACGAGATGTATATTTTCTGTAGTCGTGGCATGTTTCGAGAGGCGCGCAAGCCTGCATGTAAGAGTGCTTTCACGAGCCGCCCCATATGTCGCTCTATATAGTCGCCATCGTCGTCGTCACCCTCGTTGTAATGTTCGTCGTCAAGACGGGATGATGAGAGTACGGAGTCAGAAGCGTGCGCATGGCTTTCGACTTGCTTCGGCTCTCCTTCTGGGTTCTCCGCGTCTAACGATACACGTTGCGCACTGGCAGCAGTCGATCCCGGTAGCGCGCCCGATGAGGGAGCCCGGCAGCGCTTCGTGAGGAACTGATCCGGCGTCCACTTCTGCGTGAAAAACGGCTGATTCAGCTTGACGATTAGCGTTTCTAAGCGCGAACTTTTGCTATACGGCGAATTCAGACACGCAAACAGCCGCTGACACAAACACCGCATGCGCACGCGTGCGCTGTGTAGTGTTGGAAGCACCGGGCTCAGCGCCGCGCACACGCACTCGATCGTCTCGCCCGCATCCCCACGCCGCAATGCGTAGCTGCCGCACACATCGAGCGTGAGGTGCGCAAGCAGCGGCAAGCCACGCTCGCTCTTGAAAACCTGCAGTGCCGCAATACCACGACACAAACTCACCAATGTGGCTTGGTGCACGTAGTCCCAACGCGGGCCAAACTCGCGCTCGTCCTGCTGGCTCAGCTCGACGGCGAGTGAGTCTAGCGCCGTCAGACCAGCAAGCCTGTCGGAGCTGGCAAAGGCCTGAATAGCCGCGTTTGCAAAGTCGATCCACGTCTCTAGCGCCTCGGTGTCGGCGGGCTGGACGAAAGCACCCTCAGCGTCGTCGGGGCGGTACTGCTGGCGCAGATACTCGCCCCACGGGCCCTCGAGGCGGATAGTGAGGTGGGACACCTTTTTCGCGATGAAGGCATGCAGAGACGTGCCTGGCGCCGGGAAGCAGGCGATGTCGGTGGCGGTCAGGGGCCAGGAGCCGATTGCGAGCGAGGCGTAGTAAGTGGGCAAAGCGAGCTCGAACCATCGTTTGTTGATGAGGAGAAGGTCGATCTTGTGGGCGTGGATGTAGGGAGTCTTTTCGAGAATCGATAGAATTGAGAGAAGGAGTTCGGTCGGGAGACTCATGAGATTGGCTGGCATGGCGAGGAATTACTGCTGAAAATGAATGGTTTGCTTCCGAACGGGGAGCGATGTGAGAGAGGCATCTGATGATAGCCAGAGCCGTATAAAGGAATCTAATGACTATTGTCTATTCACGCATGACGGGAGGAAAAGAGCATCGCACGACATTAATGCGGCGTCACACCTACATATACGTTGATGTCTGACGTCCAATATGCACCATTCCTAGACCGACCTAGTGTGGAGGTTACATTTGTGGCCTGAGGCATTCGCACAGAACACTGAGCAAATCGAGCCTTGGTCAAGAGGAAAGAATTCTTTACAAAGTACAAAGCTTCATTTTGGCGCGGGCCATTTGCTGTATCGAGACGAGCAGACGTATCATTTCTTTGACAGACCCAGGGTATCGTCATCTAACAGGCCACCATTCAGACCAAGCCATGAGCGTAAGAATCGCCATACTAACCCGCCGCAGTCGTGCATTATAGTAGGTAAATCGAAAACGCCAGCGCTATGCGATGATGCCAGAAAAGGATTATGCCACTACATAGCGGAACGTCTTCAGCTGAATGCCGGGCGCAGGTCCTTGAGCTGAAATTCTAGCCCTTGTAATTCTATCACGTGCCCGGGTTTGCTGGCGTCCGTATAGATATTAGATACATCATGAGGATGAAACAGCCCTGTCTGCGAACAGTTTAGTATTGCTTTGAGTCCGGGAGGATCTGTCAATCGAAAGACACCCCAACTAGAAAGTCATCAGCTGCAAGTCGAGACTGTAAGATGGTTCAGCTTACGATGGATCTTTGCTTGGTGCGCATACAATAGCAACACTTTCTGCTAGCATGACTTGATAGCCACTATGAGTATGCAAGTCCCGACTACTCATGAAGCAGGTTTGCGAAGGGTGCGTGTGTATCCAGCCAAGCACCATCAGACCTTCCTCGTCGCAATAATCGAACAAGGCTTCTTCATTCAGCGTCTCGCACGTATCAGAGGTACTTTTCTGTTCTGGTATCACGAGCTTGGATATGAATAGGGCGTTTGAGATGAGTGTCCCGCAAAGAACGCCACAAGTTTCGAGATTTGCCTGTGTGTTACGTGATGCAACAGACAGAAATCTTTCACGCAGACCTTCAGGGAGGAACAGCGGCCGCAAAGGAGACCCGTTCTCGAGATATGCGGTGGGTTTGAAAGTGTAGTCGCACGAATTGACTTCATTCGTCTCGAATGTTGGCGTTTTGGCTCTGGAAGGTAAATTCGGACTCTCGATGATCTTCTGAGGAACCGGCGGCGGGCGTGATGATGAGTCGAAGAATAACTGTTGTATGGGCCTCGGGGGTAATTGTGGCGGTCTCTGCTCGACTCTTTGCGTTGTGGCAGGCGACTGTCGAATCTTGTTTGGAGGCACAGGAGCTTGTGAGAACTGACTGCTAGCGCTTCGATGCGGCACTGATGGATAATGGTAGCTGGTGTCACGTTGATATTGTGGACTCCCAGTGCGTGGAGTGATACCTCGTGACAAATTTCTCCCAGTCTCTTGTATCCGCGAAGAGAGATCGTCTTTTTCGGGTGGTCTTGGGCCACCGGCAAGCTCTTCCTCCCAATCACCCCATATTCCGCCCACACGACGTTCCTGCTCCTCTTCCTCAGATACTCCCGCTTGGCGAACACCGCGACGAGCACCGTCTCTTCTTCGTATTTCACGCTGTGCAAGTCTAGCGGCGAGTTGATGATTTTTTGTAGCTTCTATAGCCCGTGTCGAGCCATACATGGACGCATCTGTGAATTTAGCCGCATGCTCGCCATAGTGTAGATCATGCTTCTCCACTCCACTATCATGTGGAGCTTGAGTCTGCGCACTTCGTGCCTTCTGATATTCGACGTAGCGCAAGTGCCTCTTCTCGATACGGGGCTTGAGTTGATCTAACCGAGAGAAATTCTGCTCGACGACTTTGCGTGCCTGAACGAGTAATCTCGCCGTTTTCGGATCTTTGACCTGAGGATGTTTATCCAGCTTCTCCAGCACTAGGATAGCATGCCGCATGAGAAGGAGATAGGTCTGGGCATCGTTGCCTTCCCCCTCGTAGATCTGAGCCTGCTGGCTTGTCAATGACAGTGCCAAAAACGTTGCGCACAGTATCGCTTGCCTCCTTCTGGATTGTGTCGGCGCTGCGAAGCCAATAGCGGAGGGGAACCTGATCATTGTACTCAAAGTTACCAGCTTGCTTGCCAAGTTCCGGAATGCTCAATGCAGCCCCGGCAGTGGGTTTCGGGGACGCCGAAGACATTGCACACAGTGAGGGAGTAGGGGACGATTTAATGTAGGTAGATGTAGGTCGTCGGAATCATAGAGTGACATTGTTGGAGTTGGAAATGGGACTTGTTGATGCCTGAAGGCGGCATGCGCGTCCTTTGGCTTTGGCTGTAAACACATTGATGGCAACCCGACAGAGGGGCAGCAGCTATGAGAGTTACTACGGAGCAGGGGCGCCGTTGCGGAGGGCCCAAGCTTCACCTCCGACGCCGACACGACTTTTTTCCCTGGAGCTAGCTTCACACCTCAGGTCCTCCACGATCAAGCTCCAATGGAGCAGTATGCTCGTCGGGCGGATGTTTCGATGGCAATTACGGCACTTCTGCGCACCCGGAACTCTCCGTACACCTTCTCAACTCCCAAACCTCTGCCGCTATACAACCCAGCAGCCGGACGCAATCCAGACGAAGAGACGCCCAGGTCGACCACCCAAGAATGCTCCCAGCACAGAGCATGTCAAAGCAAAAAAGACGCGAAGACCACGGGTGATTACCGCATCTAAGAATGATCTAAAACCAGAGCTCACAGGCCTTGTTGATATTTACCGCTCCCTTTCGACGCCCAGGGTGAATGTCGTGAGCCCGGAGCTATGCGGTATGTGTTACTCGCACAAGAGGGAACAAAACGTCTGACGAGTGTTTTCTGTACTAGATCTCTCCCTAGACCTGGTTAAACATAACCTGGTCGATTATGTAGGATGCGACATCATAGACATACAACCAGGAGCGGGACTCTGGTCGGCCAGAGTCCATGAGCTCCTCAGGCCTCGCACGCATATTCTCATGGAACCAGATATGGATGCCTTCGGACCATACCTACGACCACTTTTGGAGCGTCCCGATTCCGCTTTTAGACATGTGGCACACCCCATAGGTCTTTTGGGCTCGTATGAAAAGGCCATGCAAGAGATATCAAACACGGTGTCAGAAGGATCCCTAGATCAAGCGCCTCATCAGAGACGTCTCTTGGTTACTGGTTCTCTCATGAGTTGGAAGACAGTCTACCCGCTCTTTCCGATGGCTGGCAAGACAAGCACTACCATGGGGCGACAGCTTCTGAAGCAGTTTATCTCTTCCATATCTAACCGCTCTCTATTTCATAATAGCGGGCCAGCACGAATGCTTCTGTGGGTCAATGAGTATGACATGTGGCCTTATCTACCGCGAAGCCTTCAAAACCCGAACAGAGCTGCAATGGGCACTCAGTTGATGACGGACATCACACAGATCGCTGGTACCAATGAGCACCGTGGGGAGGGCAAGTTCGGGCAGCGCAATGCCGCCATTGAATCTATCAGTAGTAAATTGGTTGCTTCACGCATGGCACGTACAGGCATGACCTTCCCACTAGACCGTCAGAACCTGTCATACAAAGCTGGACAGCAAGCTCAGCTTTCCGAAGATGCTCTTGTCCCCCAAGCCACTGACACAAAGCTTCGACACCACAATAGGATTCCCGAGATGAAATTATGGTTAGAAAACATCGAGAAGGAGACAGTCCTACCAGGGTTCTCAAAGAAAGCACAGGCCAGGCTTCTAGAAGCACAGGAGCAACTGGCAAGCGGAGCTATTGAAGTACCCACCGACGCAGAGTTTCGGAAAAAGAATGCCCGCTCCAAATATCCGTTCTGGGACAGGATAGGTAAAGACATTATCCGTTTCAAAAGTAACCTGAAAAAATCCGGGAAACGTGAAGACGGGTTGGCAATGCTTGAGGAAGTGTTGAGACTGGAGCGGGCCACATTCTCAGCTACATCCGAAGAAGAGCGGATCCATTTAAGAAAACAATGGGAAGTAGCAAAAGACAGACTTGACTCCATGCGCGCCAGGCTTCCAACAAAGGACCAACTCGCTTTCTCAACAGACCACGACGAGTACGTTGGGTTGACAGGCGACCGTCCGAATTTGATGTGGGATCGGAGGCCATTCGAGCCACTTCTCATCCTGGAGGACGAAATTTTTCCGGCCCAGGGTGCTGCCTTGGTGGATATTGTACCGAAGGAAATACGTTGCACCGCGGACGAATATAGGCGTTTCGAAGATTTCATGATTCCCTTGCGATCTCTGGAAAATGGGAAAGTCAGGGTGGCCCTGGACACAGCAGGTCATGGTGCAAGTGAGCTGGTCGACCAAGTCGAGCTACTAAGAAATCCATACGAGGGCGGCCGGCTAGATCCTGATGACATGTACGTCAAAAATCTTACGCCAGAAATGATTCTACAATTGAGTCGAGCATGGATGGCGTGGCCATTTCGCGACCCGACCTCGGACCGACCAAGTCACTTCGAGTTGTCTCATGAGGAAGGTTAACTGTCGCGGGAGGATGACCTCCATTGCTCAAGTATTCAGGGCGACAAACAAAATATAGAAATGTTGTACGTAAACGCCAATTGTACATAAGGCATAGGATTACATATATATACATGAATATTATACTGCGCCTGAATTTATGTCCATGGCCATTTATCGCTGTAGTCCATTGAGGCCCATTCAACAAGTTGCGATTTGTGATACAGGATGGAACGGTCCTATTTGACACGAACCTCAGCTTTTCTTTTTTATGATTTTCTGAGTCTTCGCAGCAGGCATCACCCTTTGCGACGCAGGGTCCGCGATCAAGTCAAATAGACTTTCTTCACCTGATGCTCCTGAGCCCTCACCTGCCTGTTCATAGAGTCAGTCACCATAAGAACCCAGAGGTAGAGCACATCAGCATTCTAAACCTACCTCTTTACCACTATCAGTCTGACCATCCCAACCTCGTCCAAACTTGTCTCTGAAAGCCTTCAACCGACCCGCCTCATCTACTTCCAGATTGACTAAAGAAGTATCTGATGGGTTCCATAGCGCAGAGTTTCGGCGGTCTTTCATTGACACATAGACGGCTTTAGGTGATGTTGTACGGTGTACATAGGATGAGCCGTCCGAGAGAGTTACGAGTTGCGTGAAAGTATATGGGCGCTTCGGGCGTTTGATGATTGTCGCATGTCGCACTTGCGTACGCGGTAGCGATGATAGAGAAGTCGATGCACGGAGAGATATCCGGCCAAAAGATGCTGGGGACAGAAGCGTCGACATTGAAGTTGGATGCGTGATGAGTGCAAGTCGTTGCGGGCGCAATAATTCTTTGATGTTGAACGGCTCGGAGGTCCGCAAATTCTTGGCGAATGGGTACTACTAAGTTATCCATCCGATGGATTCATCCATTGTCATCTACTAATCAGCGACTCCGTCTGCCAACCTTTGGAACAGTCACAGCCCTGTATTTTCAGCGTGACGTGTAAATGGTCATGGACTGATGTTGTATGCTACAGTGTAACATCAATAATGACAATCTGCCAATGTAGAGGGCCTGCGGCGCGTCAGTTCTTCAACTGCCTCTATCGATGGAGTGCGCGTTCAGGTAATGTGGGTATACGCTGCCAGAATTACAACTTACTCTTCCACAGAGTGCCCTCCCTACAGCTGTGCTCTTGGCTCAACTCTACAACGTACGCAAGGTCTTTCGAGAACGAAATGCCGAGTCTCAATGTACCTAATACGTACTCATTCTACAATCAGAGAGATACCCCCAGTAGCGCAGAAAGAGCTAGATAGGATGAAAGGCAGTTACGAATGGGGCGACGAACGCTTCTTGGCTGACCCTATGGTATTGCAAAGGCCACGCGAGGAGGAGATAGATGCGCTGCGGGAATCGATCGACCCGCAAATGCGAAAAGATCTTTTCATCAAAGTCTTTCGCGAGCTGATGAACCCTGTCGCTCTCATAACGGCAATCACAGAGCCTATTGAAGAAGCTGATAGTGGTAGAAAAGGATATTCAAACGTTCAGATCATGACGATAAGCTCGCTGACGTCAGTGACGGTATCGCCTGTTCCATATGTCTCTTTCAACATTAAGATTCCATCGCGCACCTTTGATGCTATGGGGCCGCTGTTCCGCATCAGCTTGCTGGTCTGTAACAAGATAGCTGCATTCACGGCCGAGCAATTCACGATGGGCGACGCGCGGGAGATGCTTCTAGGCTTCACGGGTTCCAAATTACCGACGCTCAAGAGCGATGACATTCGGATACCATATCTCGAAGGTGTTAGCACTGAGTCCCTTATCTGCAAAGTGGACAAAACAATGGAAGTTGGAGATCATGTCGTGGTAGTAGCAGAGGTCTTGGACGTCCGCCGCGATCAAGTCCGTGGTAGCGAGACGCGTCATCTATACTACAGGACAGGAAGGTACGTCGATGATAACGGGGTCAGCATGCAACCACGAGAAGACGTGTACGACCAACTATGGCATGTTATTGTAGCCAAATCGATACACTATCTTAAAGGCCCGCAGGGCCCGGATACATTGCGAGCAGAAGGACTCATAGGGATTCTCAAAGCTACAAAGATATATGAGATTAGAGATACGCAGCGGGGTACCATGCATCTGAATTTGATGCTCACGATATTGAAGCAGACTTGTCCAGAACTTCTATGTAACTTATCCGACGAAGAATTGATGAAGGGATTCCAGCCAATCCCATACGACATGTGGGAAGGTCTGGTTGCGAGCCAAAGGAAAACAGCTAGTAGCAGAAGGCCTGAGAAAAAGTCGCTCCCAAATGCCTCAGCGCCTCAAGAGAAAAGCAATCTACCAAATTCAGACATAGCTACCTAGGGAGGTAGGAGTGTCGACGAGGCTCATCTGGAAGATTCCAAAGACACTATTTCCCCAGACGCCCTGATTGAGGAGAAAGGCTCTCAAAATACGGCCAAACGTGCGGGGAAAGAGCTTGGAAAGCGCGGTTTATCTGAAGACCCTGATCAACGGGACGCCGTCGGAACTGCTAGACCAGAGGGGCACTACAGGATTTCGGAAAACCGTCTGTCGTGCATTCACTCGGGCCAGAAGGACTCGAAGAACCAAGAACCGATCAGAAGGTACCGAGGATGTATGTATTATATTATAACATATCAGCGTTTCCCTCAATACACGACAGGACCAGCTCCAACGCGCTCTGTGTAGATTGGCCCAACATTCTACTTGAATCAAGTCGGTAGATCAGCCTGTATGCGATGTTATGGTTGCTCATTTGACGGTGCGGCCGACGTGCCTCCATACGTGTGTTTCTAAATTCCGGTCTAGTTCTATCTCGGCACATGTTATCCCGAGATCATGGCTACATTCACATCTACCGACCCATGCTATTATTACAGTAACTATGGGCTCCGAGCTCTAGATCTTCCGGTATCTGGGGTAATTTGTATCCCTGGTCGTGATCGACATCGTGGTGAATCCAATCGCCGACCTACATATGACTCTCTGTCAGCCCAATTCAATTTCCCCTTAACTTCCGCAGTTCCAGAGCATCATCCGAAATGCAATTCTCCTCTCTCATATCTCTTTCCCTTGTCCCATTGAGCCACGCCATCCCCGTCATCTACATTGCTGGTGACTCCACCACCGCACCCGACGGCGGCCACAATGGTACCCAGGGCTGGGGTGAATACCTACAATATTCCTTCTCTGCCAACACACGTGTGAACAATTCTGCGTACGCGGGACGGTCTGCGCGTTCCTTCACGCGCGAAGGCCGCTTTGCAGCGATCGCAGAGGCACTTGTGCCCGGCGATTGGGTCATTATCGAATTCGGCATCAATGATGCCGGAATTCCACAGAACGGGAGTACAAGTACGACGGGAGACAAGGGAAGGGTGGACTGTCCGGGTAGTGGAGAGGAAGTTTGTGTTGTCACTTACAACAACGTGACCGAGTACGTGCAGACGTTTGGCACCTATGTGAAGAACGCATCGAGATTGTTTCTGGAAAAGGGAGCAAAGCTTGTGATCTCGGAGAGACTGCCTACAAACTCGTGGCAGACCGGGGAGTTCAAGTTTACGCCGAGTGTGTATGCGTATTATAGCATGTTAGTATGCCCATTAAGGGGTGCAGGCTTGGGGCCGCGACGATGCTAATGCAGATGATACAGGCTGGTGACTCAGGAGCTTGGTGGTCCAAAAGCGGGCGTTTACTTCGTTCAGCATGGACAGTACGCGGCGCAGGCGCAGAAGTTGCTTGGGAAGGATATTGTGAAGGCAAACTATCCGATGGACAACACTCATCCGGCACCGTACCTGGCTGACATCGTAAGTTGCGCCCATCCGCACTTTCTGATTGCTAATCAACTGGAAATCAGTTCCACCAGGCTTTTGTTTTGGGTCTGAAGTGCGGTACAAGCCCGCTTGCAGATCTGATAGTAAATGCTACAGCTCGTATTGAAGGACCTCTACTGGGTACTTGTATCCAGGCGAATGCGACACTGCCCATTTGATTAGAGACCCTGAAGTCGTTGAAGCAAGCACTAGAAAAGCAAATCCTTCAGCCAGCTGATTGATCCTCCTGGCTGGCTCAGAGGAAAATTCTGCATTGGATGATGATGTGCTTCAAGAAATCCAGTTGCCTTTGTACAGTCTACGAATATATGGCATGGTTCCCGTTGCATTTTTCCAGCCTCTGTACCCACTTCACCCCTATATATATATATCTTGTTCGACATGTTCACAGGAATGATTCTTGTGTACACAAGCTCCTGTCGCTTCCGGACTTAGTCGACACAGACACTGCCATTTGTATCACGTCTTACGATAACTCCCTTCAATACAAGGCCCCTAGCGTAAATCTAAGCAAGTGCCATATTGTCGATTCAATTTACTCGCACTACTGATAATGAGCTATCAGCTGTAGTCGTCTCCCTTCATAGGGCTCAGTTTTAACATCACATATTGATGAGAATCTACTTGTGCCTCGGGAGAAACCGAACCTTCGAACACTGCACAAACTTTCTTTTATGTTGGCACCGGTGCCGTCGGTCCGTCCGGACATGTTTGATGTCGGTGTTGGCAAGAACTAGTGTTGGCAAGAACTATTTCATAATCGAACTCAATGGGCCGTTGACCTGGATTGTTGTGTCAATAGGCTTAAGTATACTAGTATGGAATCTGCGAGTTCAGGAACTACGTTGTCTATGCATCGAAGATCCTCACACTACTGTGTGATATAGATTGTGATTCTAGCGTCAAGGCAACTTAAGTCATAAACCACCTAAGGACTTTAGAGTATTATAGGGCATTAAATTATATAGAGACTTTATAAGTAGAGGAAGGCATAACCTCAAGTCGAGCTATTAAGAATTATAACTATATTATAGATATCTAGTACGTTATAGCTAGGAGAATAAGATTATTAAACTTAATATTCGGGCTCGCCTCTTTAATAATAGATACTTCTATATAATATATTCTACCTCTTAAAATATAAAATAAATACCTAATAGAGAGATAAAGAACTATAAGGATAAATATAATATAGTATAGAAAAATAAATTAATAGAAAGAAAACTATAGACTATAATCTAGTCTAAGTATAAGTGTAAAGAGTGAAGACGTGGGATAGTAGTCTAACAGTTTATAGAGAGACATAGGAATGTATTTATAGAGTAATCTTACTCTTATATAAGGTTAATTCCTAACGAGTAGGAATTAGTTTATACGGTCCACTTATATAGTAACCTCGCTTAACTTAGCTAACTTAACCTAGCTCTAGCCACTACGTGGCTATATAGATTAGAATAGTCTATATAGGTCTATTATAGTTCCCGTCCTAATAATATCCTTCTTCTTTTTATACTTCGCCCCGAAGCACTTAAGTATATATAATTCTAAGTCTCTATAATCTATCGTGTACCTATATATCCGTGACTAAGTTCCTATAATATTATAACTATTCTTAATATAGGTGAACTCGAGATTCTAGTTTACTTTTACTAGTTTATACACGCGCTTATCCCTTACTTCGTGGCTACTACCTAGGATATATAATCGCTACTTTAGTCGAGTATATATTTAGCTTCGCTTGCCTTTAATTTTATTCTCTAGTATATCCACCTCGCTCTTAAGGTAAGTTATTAATTTATATACTATCTTCCCTAGTTTAGGTTTAGAAGGGTCTATAGTAGTCTATTCTTATTAGAACCGGTCTAATATAACCTATTCGCGTTATTATAGTTACTGATTTAGCTTCGTTAATCGCCGTTAAGGGTAGATAAATATTCCTTCCTTAGATCTCTAGCTAACGTGTATATATAGATATCTAATACTAGTCCTATCTCTAAGTCTACCTTCTCCTCTTATAAGACTCGCTCTAAAGGTATCGTCTCCTCCCTAGCCACGCCGGCTAAGAAGTCTACCTATCGCGGTAGTATAAAGGCGCGCTCTAAGTCGGAGAAGAGAGTAGTTAGGGCTACTACTACTACTACCTCTACTACTAATATAGCTACTAGTCGCTCTAATCTAGGTAATCCTAGTACTAAACTTATAGATAAAGTAGTTATAGGTTCCCCTCTCGCTCTAAAGCGTACGCCGTCTACTCTACCTCCTCTAGAGGATAAAGAAGATCTCGTTATAAATGATGATTGCGAGCCCTCGCGCTTACCCACGCCGCTATCTTACCGCTCTTCCTTCCGGTCTAATATAGACCGATTTAGTCGCTCTAGGTCCTTTTAGGACCTTAATATTTACTCTAAACCCTAGCCTACTAATAATAAGGCCTAGGTTACTGAGGATACTAAACGTAGTCGCGGTTTACGCTATAGGAAAATAGCGAACTATAGTTCGATATACTATATATATATTAAGGGCTATACGGCCGGCTCTAAATATCTCTTTCGCTCTAACTCTAGTATTAGCTACTACTCTACTAACCGTAACGGGCCTATATACCCTATCTTTACTCTATCTATCTACTACTACCGCTATACCGTAACTAGTAAGACTTATCTATAGATAAGTATAATAGGCTATCTTAATCTAGTATAATCTAAAGTAGTCCGCGCTAATATATTCTTAGGTTTCTATATATATATAAGATATATATAATGACCTTCGCGTCCGTGAGACCCTCGGGGGTCCTTATAGTTATCTATCTACTATATAGAGGGAGTTTAGGGAGCGCTATAAGCTCTTCCTAGAGGTTATTAAAGTATAAGTTATAAATACGTTAATTATTTTTAATATCTATTAATTTTTCTAGCCGCCGCGAGATCCCTAGTGCCTAGGCTACCTATTCTAGGGAGTCTATCCTAGCTATAGAGGCCGTAGAGAGGATTTACTCTATCCCCCCCCGTCCATCTCGCGCTACTAATGGATCTTATAAGAGGTCTACTATTTCTCCCTCTAAGTCGCCTTATAAGAGGGTATATATTCTCTTCTAGATTATTCTAGATTATATTAGCTAACTTTAGACCTAGTCGCTACGCTCCGGCGCTTAAGGCTCTTCCCTCTAGGCTCTAACGGATCGGGTTATTACTCTAGAGACTAAGGTTATTATCCTCCGCCGCTATATTATATAGTTAGAGAGGACTATACTAGAGGTTAGGACGGATAATAAGATAGAGGAGTAGCTCTATGGTTCTAGCTCTATAGGTTTGGCTCTGTGTATTGGCTCTATGGTCTAGCTCTATATATTAGGTCTATGTCTAGCTCTATATATTCTAGATCTACTATAGGTGGTGCGCGCCGGCTCTATTTACCTGGCTTTTATCCGTTTTAGTCCTTTTTAGACCGTTTAGATACCTATCGGCTAGTTTCTAGTAATTTAATTCTTAACTTAACGATATTATATGTGCGCTCGCTTAGCTTATAACTATCGGTTTCTATATTCTGATTTTCCTTAAGTTATCTAAGTGTAGGCACCGTATATAAATTAGTTTATCTCTATGAATTCTATTAGAGTACCTAAACCAGTGGCCTAGTAGTTATTAGTTCGGGTACTCTAACCTTTTATATTTCGTGTTAAGAGTTTAATTCTATAGTAGGGTACCTTTTTTTAGGTTCTTAGTCCTATGTTTTTCTCGTGTATAATGGTCTATGTTAGTCTATTCTAGACTCTTCTATGTTATTCTATTATGGTATGTCGCGTTACGTTCCTAAAATGGTTATTTATACTTTCTTCGCGTCTAGTAACTATATAATACTTAAATTATAGGGCTGCTATATAGAGTTTTCCTAGTGCGCGTCTAGATTTCCTAGTTTAGTACTTCGTTCTCTACGGTATCCTTCTTCTTTTTATAACGACCGCGATGTTACTATACTTATATTAATAATACGCTATTCTATATCTTTTACTTATACGCAGCCATTATAGAACTTAAGATATATACCGCTGGTTCCTAGGTATCCTCGTCCTTAGTGTAGTCCGTCTAATAGATTCTATATTTCTAAACACCGTCTTTATTAATTCTATGTTCGATATTATGGTCTACTTTAAATATATCTAGTCTATCTTAGGGTATAATAGAGTATAACTATATATTCATGCGGCTATACACGTTAGGTCGAAATCTTTCGAGTAGTAAGACGTGGAACACGTTATAGATTCTTATATCACTTCCTAAGTCGAGCTCGTAGGCTCTTATACCGATATAATGTTTAATTCGGAAGGGACCAGCCATTTTATAATTGAGCTTCTTATTTACTCGCGATATTCATATATTATAAATATTAAGAAGGACCTTATCGCCCTCCTCGTACGTCTAATCCTTAGCTAATCTATTATAGTACTTTATATATAAGTCGTTTACTTATTAGATTATAGCGCGATAGTTACGTATGGTTTCGAAGATTTTAATCGCTAATTCCTAAGCGTGCACGTTCACGTCTATTATTTAATTAAATTAGACCGTCTAAGGCTTAAAACCTATCCTTAGACTACGTCCGAGGTTCGCCTAGAAAGGTATAATATCTATTATACTATAACGACTATTATTATATACGAACTCTACTATACTTAGTAGGGAGGCCTAGTCGTCCTACTCGAAATTATAGAATACGTGTAGATAGGCCTCGAGCGTCTGGTTCTATCGCTCTATCTAGCTATCTATCTAAGGATGAAATACTATAGATATGTTTCTATTTATACTTACTATTTCGTAGAATAATATCTAGAATTTAGACGTGAAGGTACTTCCTCGGTCCGTAATAATCCTTTTTAGTATACTATAGACCTTAATAATCTTATTCGAGAATACCTACGCTAGTTCTTTAGATATAATCGTCTTCTATACCGGGATATACCTAGATATCTTTATAAGTCTATCCACGATAATAAGAATAGAATTATAACTTATCCTAAGTATCTCGCTTAGAGGTAAGTTAACTATAAAGTCTATAGTAACGTCTTCCTATATAAAGAGGGGGGCTAAAAGAGGCTGTAAATTCCTATATAGCTTGTGCCTAGGGGCCTTCGTTCTTTAATAAATCGGATAAGTAGCTATCT